AGGGGTCCCTAGGTGTCACAAATGGTTAAGCACTTGACTATTAGCTGAAAAGTTGGAGGTTCGAACCCACCCAGAGGTGCCTTGCAAGACAGGCCTGGTGATCTGCTTCCAAAAGGTCACAGCCTTGGTAACCCTATGGAGCAGTTCCACTGCACACGTGGGGTCACATGACGGCAACTAACAACAACGGTCTTTCAAGTGGTTACTATTGTCATTTTGGCTTTGAAGATTTGTGAGCAGACTTTCATTCGTTCTGGCTTATTTTCAAACTAGTTTAAAAGATGTTGTTTGGTAACTTATCTTCCTAATTTCCTTCTCAATATTTCAGAAGTTCCCCAGTATAATGTGACTCCAAGGCACATTTGTCAAGTCTCTTGATCTGAGGTAGCAGCCTTCAGGAGTTTTGAGTCCATGAGAATATTTCTGGTGATGCTGGTCCGAGTAATGGTTTTGCTAGTGCAGCTGGACTATGTTGGTGTTTACTGAATTGATTGGACTAAATGCACTACTTTTAGAATTGTGGGTCAGAAACCTTGATGATTACCTAGAGAAGCACCTGGGGTCCCTCCCTGGACTCCACCTTTTAACAAGTTCCCCCACTGATGATGAAATTCAGCCTTGTTGGGTCTGCTGTCTGGCAGTTATGAAATGTTGACTTTCTAAACTAGCTTTCTTAGATCTCTCCAAAGGTAGCAAGACCACAGTGCAATTTCTCAGGCCTATGCTGGAGAAAAAACATTAGTGTTTTTCCTTGGCTTGGGAAGAGGAGAGGAAACGATGCTGAGATTCTAATGCTGGTTTGGAGTATCTTACACGGTCACAAAGAACATTCGTCTTTTATGATAGTGCATTTCCCAAGCATTCTTTTGGGAAGCCTTAGCCCCCAAATTGTTTGGCAAATGTAAACTCAGTCACTTTTGGCAAGGCTCAATGCACTCGAGCATGGGAAACACAAATTAAAATAGAGATACTTCTTTACTCACTCAATTGTTTTTCTGGTTGCACATTTGCTTGGCATAAAAATAGAATTATTTAAAAAGGTGGGACCCAAGGGTCTAGTTATATAGCTCAGGTTTGGTAAGGGTCAGAGGAAACTCTTAATTCTCATGAAGTTTAAGCATCTTCATTCTCTCAGCTTGATATCTTGCTCAAATCATACTAAATAAGGTCATAACAACCAGGACTACTTAATCTAAAATCACGTGTCTTATTTTCCTCATAGGAGTTCAGAGTGGTTTTTAGATGGGGGAATCCATTGGACATGGTGTTCTATTTCAGTTAGAATAATTTTCCTTTATTTTATTGCTTGTTTGTTTTATCAAGGGAGCCAAACCTTACCTATACAGTGGCTCATTTCGCTCATCAAAGGCAGTCAATCTATCTTGATCAAGTTTGAAACTGAAATGAACTGTTATCTAAATTGTTATTCTGTGGAATCTTTTCTTCTCTGCTACTGAGATTCCAAGAGACCTGTTGCCCCATCACTGTAAATGTCATTCTGTTTAATTCTAACATCTGTAATGCAGCCAAGAAATAGCTGTTTGTTATCTATAGTCACAAGGGAGTCCGAGGATGGTGTAAATGGTTTACATGTTCCACTGCTAACTGAAAGGCTGGATGTTTGAGTCTACTCAGAGGCACCTCGAAAGAAAGGCCTGACAACCTACGTCGAAAAATCAGTCATTGAAAACCTTATAGAACACAGTTCTACCCTGACATACATGGAGTTGCCATGAGTCAGAATCTACTTTACAGCAACTGGTTTGTTTTTTTATACTCACAGGATACCTGCTTCTGGAAGAGGCTTAAGCCACCTGGTTTGAGATTATCAATTTCTCACTTCTGATAAGTGTTTTTTAAATTTCACCATAAGAGAAGGAATCTACTGGGACAAGGAGTTTCAGAAGTTCCCTGGGTGACACAAATGGTTAAACATTCGACTACTAGCCAAAAGTTTAGCTGCTCGAACCCACCTAGAGGAGTCTTAGAAGACAGGCCTGGCAATCTGCTTCCAAAAGGTCACAACCTTGGGAATTCTATGGAGCAGTTCTACTCTGCACACATGGGGTTGCCGTTAGTTGAGGTCAGCTTGACAACAACTAACAACAGCAAGAGTTATACAACATTAGTAGAACCATTAAGGCCAAATATGAAGAAATTGAAGATTTTTACCAACTTCTGCAAATCTGAAATTGATCGAACATGTAATGAAGATGCACTGATAATCACTGGTGGTTGGAATACAAAAGTTGGAAACAAAGAAGAAAGATCAGTAGTTGGAAAATACGGCCTTAGTGATAGGAATGATGCCAGAGATCACATAGTAGAATTTTGCAAGACCAACTACTTCTTCATTGCAAATACCTTTTATCGACAACATAAAAGGCCACCTCACTGGATGCAATACACAGGAACAAAATTGACTACGTCTGTGGAAAGAGATGCTGAAGAAGCTCAATATCATCGGTAAGAATGAGGCCATGGGCTGACTGTAGAATAGACCATCAATTGCTCCTATGCAAGTTCAAGTTGAAGCTGAAGAAAATTAAAACAAGTCCACAAGCGCCAAAGTACGACCTTGAGTATATCCCACCTGAATTTAGAGACCATCTCAAGAATAGATTTAATGCACTGAACACTAATGACCCAAGACCAGAAGAGTTGTAGAACGACATCACACATGAAGAAGCAAGAGGTCATTAAAAAGACAGGAAAGAAAGAAAAGACCCAAATGGATGCCAGAAGAGACTCTGAAACTTGCTCTTCAACACAGAACTGCTAAAGCAAATGGAAGAAATGAGGAAGTAAAAGAGCTGAACAGAAGATTTCAAAGGATGGCTAGAGAAGACGAAGTAAAGTATTATAATGAAATGTGACAAGTGCTGGAGTTAGAAAACCAAAAGCGAAGAACATACTCAGCATTTCACAAGCTGAAATAACTGAAGAAAAAATTCAAGCCTTGAGTTAGGACATTAAAGGATTCTATGGGGAAAATATTGAACAATGCAGGAAGCATCAAAAGAAGATGAAAGGAATACACAGAGTCACTGTGTCAAGAACTGGTCAATGTTTAACCATTTCAGGATGTAGCATATGACCAAGAACTGATAGTATTGAAGGAAGAAGTCCAAGCTGCAGTGGTGAAATGAAAATTGAAGGCACTGGCAAAAAACAAGTCTCCAGGAATTGACCAAATACCAATTGAGATGATTCAACAAACAGGTGCAATGCTGGAGTGCTCACTGGTCTATGCTAAGAAATTTGGAAGAGAGCTACCTGGCCAACCATCTAGAAGAGATCCATATTTGTGCCCATTCCAAAGAAAGGTGATCCAAGAGAACATGGAAATTATCGAATAATATCATTAATATTACACTAAATAAAATTTTGCTGAAGACAATTCAAAAATGGTTGCAGCAGTACATCAACAGAGAACTGCCAGAAATTCAGTCCAGATTCAGAAGAGGATATCATTGCTGATGTCAGATGGATCTTGGCAGAAAGCAGAAAATTCAAGAAAGATGTTTACCGGTGTTTTAGTGACTACGCAAATGCATTTGACTGTGTGGATCATAATAAATTACGGATGACATGGTGAAGAATGAGAATTCTGGAACACTTAACTGTGTGAGAATTCTGGAACACTTAACTGTGCTCATAAAGAACCTGTATATAGACCATGAGGCAGTTGTTTGAACAGTACAAGGGGATACAGCGTGGTTTAAAATCAGAAAAGGTGTGCATCAGGGTTGTATCCTTTCATTATACTTATTCAATCTGTATGCTGAGCAAATAATTCAAGAAGCTGGACTATATGAAGAACAACAGAGCATAAGGATTGGTGGAAGACTCATTAACAACCTGCGATGTGCAGATGACACAATCTTGCTTGCTGAAAGTGAAAAGGACTTGAAGCACTTACTAATGAAAATCAAAGACTACAGCCTCCAGTATGGATTATACCTCAACATAAAGAAAAAAAAAAAAATCCTCACAAATGGAACAATAAGCAACATCATGATAGATGGAAAAAAATATTGAAGTTGTCAAGGATTTCATTTTATTTGGATCCACAATCAACACCCATGAAAGCAGCAGTCAAGAAATCAAATGATGTATTGCATTGGGCAAATCTGCTGCAAAAGACCTCTTTCAAGTGTTAAAAAGAAAAGATGTCACTTTAAGGACCAAGGTGCACCTGACCCAAACAATGTTATTTTCAATCGCTTCATACGCATGCAAAAGCTGGGCAATGAATAAGGAAAACTGAAGAAGAATGGATGCCTTTGAATTATGGTGCTGTCCAATAATATTGAATATACCATGGACTGCCAGAGGAACGAACAAATCTGTCTTGGAAGAAGCACAGCCAAAATGCTCCTTAGAAGTGAGGATGGTGAGATTTCGTCTCAGGTACTTTGGACATGTTATTAGGAGGGACCAGGCCCTGGAGAAGAACATCATGCTTGGTAAAGTAGAGAGAGGGTCAGCAAAAGAGAGGCAGATCTTCAATGAGATGGACTGACACAGTGGCTGCAATCACAGGCTCAAACATAGCAACGATTGTGAGGATGGTGCAGGACCGGGCAGTGTTTCATTCTGTTGTACACAGGGCTGCTCTGAGTCAGAACCGAATTGATGGCACCTAACAATAACAACAATATGCAAACAACTGCTCTCTCTCAAGACGACCCACCTGAAATATACTTCTGTTCTTTTATTTCCAATAACCATTTTCCAAAGAAGAGATGACTGATGTTGCATGCTCTATCAATACTTGCCCAGATGTCTGATATCCAAGAGAAGGAGGACAAGGATTAAGACTCAATAGATGGTAATAAAAATTCCTTGTCCTCTTTAAAGTAGCTAACATTTGCTCTATCCCAATCAGTTGGTATACAAGTACAACAGGGAACAAATATGAGAGCAATTAAAATGAGCTACTGTACATTTGTGTGGTTTGATTTACGTAAACAACTTCTGTGGGAGAAGACAGCTGTGGTTTGGATAATGTTTAAATCTATGAAACCCAAGTAACCTAAATATAACTTGATATGTATAAAACATTCTTGGTTATGTTCTTCTGTTCTAAACCATCTCACTAAAGATAAATTCAAATGATTGGAATCAGGCATGGGCTTACCCAGTGAAGGTCATAATCAGAAGGCCTTGCTCTTCCTTCGTCATCTTCATATAAAGAAAAACCTTCCCTCCGAGCCTGATAATACTCCTTCCGCAACTTCTGGATGCGGTCAGAGCTTCCACTCGTGGGGCGACCACTGCAATACATAAATCAAATAAACGCCATCATACAAGTGTATATCATCTTTAAAACTTACTTTTTGATTTTCTTATTAAAGAGGAGAACTTCCAAATTTGGAAGATTTAATAATGTAATTTAAATAAGCTAGGAAAAATATAAAATAATAAAAACAAACAAACAAAAAAAGATCTTGATGTGCATATCTTTAACTCCAGTGGTCAGAACACCCGAATTAGGATTAATAAAAGCCTTTTGAGTGGAAAAGTAAGATAGGATAATTGTCTTAGAACCATCACTTTTTTCTTACGATCTTAATTGGTTTAAACTTAATATGGGTATCTCATTTTCTTAGATAAGTGTTGCTTATCTGGAATAAAGTTCCAGCTGTTTGACCCAGAAGTTGGATGTAATATAAAGCTGACATCTGCCAGTGCTCATTTCAATAAGACTCATGAATTTTGGGAGTGGAGGAGGTTAGGGTACATGTCAACATATGGGTACAGCAAGAACACAGGGAAAGAAGAAGGTATAAACCATGCCAATATGTAAAAAGAAACAAAAACACTCAGTGACAGTAGGTTGTACCATCTTGGTTACTTGTCTAAGGTTCTCTTCTCTCTACTTGAGCCACTGCGGCTTTCTTAGTAATCACAGTTTTTCCAGTTATTCATCCACCCACCCCCAAACTGGTCAGCTAGCTAGTAGATCCCTTTTAGCTTGGATTGGTTTGTCATGATCATCTCAACAGATAATATTATGTGATACATTTCAGAGCTAGGAAGTAAGAAGGGCATGATAATCTGAACATTTGTATAACTTCTTTGGTTCACTTGAGGCATAATTGAGTGCCCCACTGTGCCAGACCTTATGCTAAGATCTGGGAATGTACAAATAAACAATTCACAGTCCCTGTCTGCAAAACGCTCATGGCCTGGGTGTTGGGGGACAGAAAGGGACACAGAAGACAACAATACACTGTGACAGGTGCTACAACAGAGGTCTGCACAGGAGTCATGGGGACGCAGAGTAAGAGTGCTTCATTTTGACAGGTGACAGAGCAGGGCCATGGAGGAAGATCAGGGAAAGCTCCATAGAGGAGGTGACACTTCCGTTGAGTCTTGCAGGACGCATAGGTGCTCAACAGCTCAACAAGCGAGATGAGGGAATTCTAGGTAGAGGGAAGGGAAATGCAAAGCACCAAAATGAGAAAACATCTTGCTTTGGGGGAATGCAGTAAGTCATTTTGGGTAAGCAGTGGTCCTAACTTCTTTTGTCCTGCCTCCCACATATATAGGTGATATATGTTCCCTTTTCTCTCTCATATTGAAAACTAATCAGAATAAAAGTTGAGTGCTGCTGACTTCAGGGACATTTTGAATTTACTCTATTAAATGACCAAAGTATGTTGTTGTCGTGTGCCGTCAGGTCAATTCTGACTCATAGCGACCCCATGTGCCAGAGTAGAAGCGCCGCATAGGGTTTCCTAGGCTGAAATCTTTACCAGGGCAGATCACCAAGTCTTTTCTCCCACAGAGAATGTAGACCTTTTGTTTAGCAGCCAAATGCTTAACCATTGTGCCAACAGGGCTCCTTGACAAAAGTATATCACTTGCAAATTTTGGTATTTTAACTCTATTAGTAACAACTTATAAATCATAAGGACCCTGGGTGGTGTAAATGGTTTGCTCTTGTCTGTTAACTGAAAGATTGGAGGTTTTAATCCACCCAGCAGTACCACAGAAGAAGAGCCTAGCAATCTACTTCTGTAATATAACAGCCATTGAAAATCCTTGGGGTTGCAATTCTACTCTGAAACACATGAGGTCGCCATGAGTTAGAATCGACTCCACTGGCAATGGGTTTGGTTTTTTAATGAATCGTAATGACACTCATTTTCATGAGCATGTGTTTGCAAATCACTGGTCTAGTGTACAGGGTATAGAGAAGGAGGTGGGGGAGAGGGAGAGGTGGGACTGGAAAGGTAGGTGGTGGAGACATTGGGAAAAGCCTTGTATGCCAAAAAGATCCCCAAATAATATAGTTGAGTTTTAAGTTTAAATTTCATAAATTAGATACCTGAAAGCAATAGAAAAAGTAATCTACTGTTTTGTTAAAACATTTGAAATTATGCTTGTAAACTTGTAATGCCATGGTCAGCATTCCGCTGCTAACCAAAGGTCGGTAGGTGGAAACCACCAGCCGCTCCTTGGAAACCCTATGGGGCACTTCTACTCTGTCCTGTAGGGTTGTTATGAGTTGGAATCGACTTGATGGCAATGGGTTTGGTTTTTTGGTTTGGTCTATACTATGAAAAGAAAGTGGTGAGTAAACATCCTTCGGGAGAAAACACTTTCTTCCCATCCTACATGGTGAGTTAACTGAAAGCAGGGCCAGGTGTTTTCTGTTTTACAGCCTCTCCATGACAGCCAGCGCAGGGTTCTGAGCTCCCTAGGTGCTCCACGCACACTCAGCAGCTGACACCTTTGATTAAGAAAAAAAAAAAACCTTTACTGATCACGTATCTTTATTTTTTTCTTCAATACGTATTTAAAAACTCACAAAATAGTTCTAACTCTACTTCTTCACTATGCTTTTTTCTTTAAAATTTCCTTTCAGCACTTGAAAAAGATGACAATAAGGAAAAATAAAAAAGCCCGATCTGCTTTTCTGCGCCAAGGGAAGGCAGGAAAAGCAGCACAGCTCTATTCGGAACAGCTTCCCTTGCTCTTGAGTAATTCGAGATGACTATGATGTCTGTATCCAATGCGCAGACTTTTACCGATTACCTGAATTCATGAGCCACGTTCAAACTCACCAGATGAGTTCAATCAACATGGTGCAAACATCGCATACATAATCTATTAGTTTACCCCAAAGAAACTGAAGCATTGAATTCAAGCAGAATGAAGTCATCAGTAATAAGAAAGAAAGAAACTGATAAGGCACTATTTTTAAAACCTCACAATTTCCCTACATTTGTGGTGGAAAAAAAAATTCATACTCAGACTGTTAACTATTCTCCCATATGACTATAAATACACAAATTAAAAAATATGGGTTTGATCAGATTGCTGTTCTCAAATACAGGGAATGAAGCGAGAATACAAAATGAGCTGTTAGGATTCAGAAAATCCCCTATGGCTGACAGGAACATGAGTGTTTACCCAGAAAAGAAATCTGGCCTCAGAGAAAAAACAGGAAAAAAGCCCAGGAAGTCATGGACCATCTAAGTGTATGACATGCTGTATCTTCTCCCTTGTGTGAATATTTTAAAGAAGGTATGGGACAGCATGCAAGCCTTTCATGACAAACTGGGACTACACCTCAACATGATTTCTCTTTTATTCTTCTGCAACCCTCATTCTACCTTTAGCTGCAGTACCATATTTTTCCAAAAACCAAAAAACCAAACCTGTTGCCGTCTAGTCGATTCCGACTCATAGTGGCCCTATAGGACAGGGTAGAACTGCTCCATAGGGTTTCCAAGGAGCGCCTGGTGGATTCAAACAGCCGACCTTTTGGTTAGCAGCTATAGCGCTTAACCACTACACTGCTAGGGTCTCCAGAGTAGGTGTTTCCAAAGTAGGTGTTTTATATTATAAAATAAGGAATGGCAAATTCTTATTTCCCCTTTTAGCTCTTCTCTGTAGACATGATACACAAATTTACTATCAAATCTATAAAAATCATATACACAGCTATAGTAAGTAAAGCAATTAGTGATTTCATTTTGGGTTTAAAATGTAGAAACTTAGCAATCTGAAGAGGGACATACAAACACTTTTATATAATAGCAACAATGATCATAATAATTATAGTTTATAGAAAATTTATATGGCAAATATATGAATAAAGACTTTTACTTACTCCACAGTCTGCCCATAGCAGACATCTCTAATCAATTACAGCACGATTTACTGATGATACCAGACATGGCGTAGAATCGTTCTCAACCCAGAACTTCAGAAAGCCACTACCAATCTATAGGAGTTGGCTCTTGAGTTTGTTTACAATTCCTGTGTACCAGGTGCTGTATATATTATCTCATATTCTCATAAGCATAGGAAAAGATAGCTTTTATTTAAAGCGATCCCATAAAGTGAGGAATCTGATGTTCATAGCATAGATGATGAATAAGGTCTGTCTGATTTCAAAGGCTACTTGTTTCATCATACTTACTACCTGCCAGCCTGTGTCTCCTCCTTTATATGACTTACATCTTAGAGACTGGGTCTTGTAGCAACATATTGAACCAGAATGGAAGGCAAAGCTAGCCTATAGGGCTTACTTTCTGAGGATTCCCATTTTCTCTTCCCTATTATTTGTCCTATTTTTCTGACTTTATGGAACTCAGCAGTACATATTCCAGGAAATCTTTTGCCTGGTAGTTTTAGAGGTAACATGAGATTATGATGCAACCATACAAAATCAGTCAAAGTATCAATAACCCCACCTCCAAATTGCTAGCTAGATATCAGCCTTTCTGTATTTTCAGTTCACTGGATGAAGTAAAGCTTGGCCATAGTTACAAAAAAATTTCTATTACAGCTGTATCCATATGTAGATGATCAATGCCAGTCCTGTACTTTCAGTGTGCTGAAATTTTACATTAAATTAATTCAAGAAGTATAACAAAAGAGTTTTATATTGCAGTGATTTCTTGTAAATTATACTGCCTATGGCTTTAAAGGCAGATGTACAGTTAAACAGGTCCTCCTTATAACACTTTAAAGCTGGACAGAGCTTAAAGTTGGAATGGATTTCAGAAACCATGTCATTGTCTTTACAGCCACTTACAGTAATATATTCCCATAGTTAACAAACATCACACTAAGGCATTATCTGCTCCTTTGGAATCTGATCTTATTCTTCCTAGTTCATAATTACCTCAATTGAAGTATTTTTAAAAAATGAGGGTTCATTTGTGTGTGCGAGAGACTCCCCCCATTACTGTTGCAGGCTGGAGAAAAGAAACTAATAGACCCTATGGTGTCCTGATTATGATATTTGTTACCT